GATTTTTTCAGAGATTGAACTCAAGCTAAATTGAAAACAAAATGTAAAATCTTTTTCAAGTATCAGTGAAATGACTAATTGACCTGTGAACACATAGCGCTCTAATTTATTATAGAATTACACCACTTTGTAAAAGAACCAAACAATTCAGAAACTATCTATTTTATATTATTTTTGAGAACATTGTAGTCTTCCTTTTCTCATAAAAATGCTAACTGTTTTCGTTTTTTGGTAGCAGTAAAAATAGCAGAACAATGGATTTTGTTTATTTAGTGTTATCATAATTTTTTAATAGAGTTTTGCAAAGGCTACAATAACATGTTACAATTGTTAGTCATTAATCATCATTATTATTATTTTCATCAAGCTTTTTCTATTTTGTTCAACGAAAGTCTACTACATCCTTAAACATAACCGTATTAAACAGCTTGGACCTGAACGTATCTAAGAACGACGCTTATGCAAACGAGTCTTATGCAAACTACCCTGCGCTGTGATGGTATACACTAGTAGTGCGCATCGAAACGTTACCTGTAATCCAGCATCAACTCATCGTCAATGCAAATCACGATTTTAACTCTCAACTTAAATAAAATAAAAACCACTTAAGCAGTAACATCAAGAAATATAACAATTTCACCATCATAACAATAATTGTTTAAATGTTCTTAATATACAATTGTGGCAAACGTAATTTACTGGTATAATGAAAACTACATTGTCCGACGTTAAGATGTTGTGCATGAAACAGACATGCGATTATTATATAATTACGTCATTCAAGGAGATAGATATCTCCCTAAATATGTCTACCTATCATGCGTGATTTCTTCAATCATTTGCAGTTTTACATTCAATTTGGTATTCATTATGCTATATGTTTGATTTAAAGAAATTTCATTGGTTAATCCATATTAAGCAAAGACATGATCAGACACCCATATCTATTTGTTTACCATGTCAATTTGCAAAATTAATGAAAATTTGAATTCCGCACCAAAGCTCAAACACACAGACATATTTCCCACTACGCAATTGAAAATAGAAAAAAATCTCTATAATCTTACTCGAATATAAACTAATGGTTTTGTCTTAATGGTAATCTTGAAAACGTCCATTAGTCACTTACTGCATGTTTTAATCATGATAAGTTAGTTAATTGCGGTAATTTATATTACGTCACTTGAATTAATGAGTTCCTTTCTATATTCATTGTGACAGTCCTGGAAAATAATAATAAATAATAAAATAATAATAAATACTAAAAACTATTGTTTCTGTTCTGTATGCGATGTTTGAATAGAAGCAAGTATTGTAGTAACACGGAGAGTAAATCTCAATGTATATGTACTGTAAACGGTAAATGTACCGATCGAACGAAATAAAATTATTTCTGTGAAAAAGAAATTAAATAACAACGTTTATTAATTTATTATTATTTTACATTTTCTATCGTTGTATGTATATATATATTCTTCCTACAATATATGACCAGAACAATAATTTTCTTTTATCAGTCGAGTATGATCTGTATGTCCACGCATTGAATGTCCTCCCACATATTTCACTTTTAACACCATAGTTTGAATAGCTGTGTCGTGATGGCATACCGTGTAATAGTCAACCCACGCTGTGCACTGATATAATTAACTGTTTTAGAGGGAAACATAGAAATTGTTTGATACACGCAACTATGGGCGGTTAAAGATCAAACACAATTATATCACATAAAGCGATCACCCGTATCGTAGTGGCTGTTGTTTAGAGCCCAGGATTTGTATTTTCCGAGTTAAATTCCAATCTGACATAACTTCACTGTGTATAAACGTTATTAATGTTAACATAGATAAAATTGTACGGCCCTATCTTGATTCAGAATCTCAACTCGCAACTTGGCAATTGAAACGTGGCGAATGAGGGAATACTGTAGGGGAAAGATCTGTAGTTTATGTTATTTTAAATACTTCTTTCTCGTGGTTTTGTACTGAATACGTGTATATATTAAACTATTTATGACTTATTCACCAACCTATGTAGGGGGGTCTGTTAGCAATTCATGTAAGGGGGGGGGAGAAAGTGTCGTGGAATTCCCGGTACACAAGATAAAAAAAAAAAAACTTTTCAATCTTTCGATTCGCGATGTTCTCTATTTTGATAAAGATTATTTTTTATAACATAATTTGATATTACGTTTACCATTTGTACGTTCACCATCACATCTGTGGTTGTTTCAAAGTTAAATGATGCATGTTTGTTCACAGAATGTAGACATGGGGATAAACCTCTCATCGAACACTATGAAAAATGTAAAGGGTTAATAATTTACGTTATGTCGGTGCGTTCTCTAAAATGGTGGATAATCGCGAAGAAGTATCCATTAATTATAATTTATATAAGAAATATAACTCCGCATGCAATTGTTAGGAAATGAAGATATTATCTATGAAAAATATCCTTGTGGATT